AACTACCAATTGTTAGCACACATTTTTAAGAACTACTTCTTTTTTCTTTAAACAGGGACATTTGCGAGCAAACTGTGAACTCCAGGAGTATAGGAATATTATGTGGAGAATGAAAAGGGACAGAGCTTAGCATGGACTGAAAGTACCTTTCCCCTGAGCTCTAGCGTAGCCAATAAAATAGACCTTAAGCAGACATACCGTTCCTATGTTGACGGACGTGTCACTGTACTGACCGGCTTTCAAAGTAACTGGGACTGATTTTGTTCACCGTTCGAACTGCAGATAAATGTAATTATCAGTCATGGACCGGATGCCAAACCGATACTATTCCGCATTCCGAACTAAGTAAAATACAAATAAGAGGAGGTCAATCCACAGGCATTTAAAGACACTCAAGTAAATACTTTCTGTCACGAACAACAAGAGATCTAGATGCCGACATTTTCGTATTTAGAGACTCCTTCCTCTACCCGATAGGGCTAAGTATTTCTTTTATTCTATTCTGGTCTTCCCCCTTTTCTCATTAAGAAACGTGGGTGCCTTTAGCACCCTTATATCAGTATGCAAGTTCTTCCTACTTTTCTCTATGCATTTCCTATGGCACTTACAGGGAGAATTTGTGTAAAAATCAAGAGCGTTCCGGATATTATTCTCATGACCTTAATAGCTGAATCATGGGGTGATATTGTTGGAAGAAATTAGATGCGTATCGCTCTTAGGTTGTTAAAGGTTGAAGCACCCATGCTTGACTGTTAATTTTTTTCCCGTGTGTGAGCCCATGAATTATTGTCCGATGTGCTCTTTACTACATCAACTTCACGAGTTTCTCGGTCAGTTTTCAGTAATGGCAGCCTCCCACAAGAAACATCTGGTTAAGTAGAAAGCCCTGAGGACGAGGTTGGTGTTTGTATCGACTTAAGAAGGATTCGTTCCAATGGGCAACGAGTTATGTAAATTGTTTCTCCAAAGCTGCGGCTGAAAATCAAAACCACAGAAACTGACTGATTGGAAAGGAAGTTTTCAGCAACCTTGTAACCATCCTTTATTTGGCGGTCCTGTAAAGTATCATTACAGCGTGTCCCAACTAAAAAGAAAAAACGACAAAAAAGTGAATAATGCTAAAACTCAGTGTTGTCTCAGGTTAGGCCATTGTTAGGTATCGCATCCTGTTTGTGAACAAGTCATGGACGACAGACGTAACCTTTGGGAAGGGAAAGAACGAGACACGTAAACCAAGTCGGCAAGCGCAAGCCAAGCACTGAACAATCGATTTGAATTTTATTTTTTTCGAAAAAGTTTCATCGCCATTTACATAGACATCAAGTATCGATTACGTACGTAAACTTGGAAAAAATGCCTTGACTCTTGCTAATTTATTATGCGTTTATGGCTTCAGAAACAAAAAAAAAAAGATGTGAGCGACATAGCTCAACGAGCAAGCGAAAGAACCAGTAAGTTTCGAGTACTGTTACTTGTCGACAAACAAAAAATTCGCGAACTCTCGCCAACCGCTTCTCGTGTTTCAGCTCACTACTTAGGCTTTCAAGTTCGTGGACTTAGTTGAGTTACAATAAAGTAAAAACATAAAGCCCAAAAATTTCCTAGTAGGACTGCATCATAATTTTCCGGCCTTCACAGAGCCTCCATCGTTAGAAGCACCTATTCATAGCTTTCAAAACTACTGGAATTGTTTGCCACTCACAGTTCAAATGCAGAGGGCCACCTTTACTTAAACAGACGTCAATCTAACAATTTTCCTTATTCTGGAATAAGAAGATCTCAAAGAAAAAGATATTTAACAGTAAAAATGCATTCAAACAAGTATGAACTTCCCTTCTTAAATCACGATAGAAAACTTTCCTTGTTACTTTTTGGAGATTCCATCATTTGTCTGTGCTACTTATTATCTTTAATTCTTTACTTATCCCCCCTCCCACTCCCTCCATTTTTATCCGGAATTGAAGCGACCACTCGCGAAAGGTAAATGCGTTTGTGTCGATTTAGATCTGCCTTTGCGTAATTTGGTGTTTTGACCCTACGAAAAGGTTATTTTTGGATCACATTGAAAGTTTAAAGAAATGGA